TATTAATATTCATATAATTTATATTATAAATAAATATATTTAATATATAAACATAACATATTTTTCTGAAATATATACATGCGTGTGTGTGTATTTATATATACATAATAAATATACACAATACACATACATATTATGTACAGTAAACAAAAACAACAACATTTTTTAACTAAATGTATTTATGTTTAAAAACATACATTTTCTATTTTCTATTTTTCCCCCCTTATATGGGAAAATAATATGGCATGGCCCATAATGACCTTTCATTTAGCCCACAAACTTTGACCCATGGGTGCTGGTTTGTGCATCTGTGGTATATATAGACAGGAAACCAGTGGGAAATGGGATCATAACATGACAAAGACTGCAGACAAATGTGTGCTGCACATGTTGAAGAGAAATTGGTTTTCACACAATTCTGTTTGTGGATGATGCTTAATCTGTGTGTTGGAAATCATGTCAGAAAATAACACTTTCTGAAATGGGTATCCTTTTTCTCTCTCTGCCATTGTGTCTTACTTTGTGTAATTTTTGTCTTCACAGGTTTGTGTTTATTATGGGTACTTCTATTGGTTTGTCCCTGAGCGGTTCATTGCGCAGAGGTGTCAAACGCACTCATCTGCTGTGGAAGATTTTCTGGAGGAGCTTACAACTATTTCTTATCGGAGTCATCATCGTCAATCCTAACTACTGCCAAGGACCCTGTGAGTAGTAACATGTTTTCCTTCTGTTTCTTCTTAAAACCTACAAACCCAATCTCTAGCCCAATGCCTGTACTAATTCTACATTAGTTTATAAACGAAATACAGTGTCATGAAACACATCAGTATGAAAGCTGAAACAAAGTAAGTTTCTCTCTGTTAAATTACATGCATATAACTAGTCCCCATGAAATCAAAACTGGAGGAATTTGTAGCCTATTTCTGTAACTTTTTTTTCTTTTTTATGAGTTCAGCTCATGAAAAATGCGGGCAAAAACAAAAGTGTTGCGTTTCTAATTTTGTTCAGTGTAGAACAATGGATCAACAATGCTGATAATTTATTAAATATTCAATATTGACTTGACTTGCTCACATAAGCATATCAAATCTAGAATTTCTTCTCCAATAAAATGCTCTTTTAACAAGATTACCATCTTCCTCCAAGTAGCAATAGTAAGTAGAAAATCATGGTTTGCTAAAATATAACGTACAAAAGGCATTTGGCTATTTAAACATATTTCTTACCCCAGCTTCCTTTTTCAATAGGCAATACATCCACAAAGAAAAGAAAATTGCACAAACATGGGGTTGTTAATATTATATGTTCAAACTCAACATTTCCATGTCACCTTGTCAATTGTTTTTTAGTAATCTGGTCACAAAAATTAGTGTAAGATTTAATGGAATGTGAAGTTGAAGACTTTAACCCTTTAACTGTCACCCATCCCCTCTGTGGGACACCCAAGTTTACTTCACTATATTAAAATTAAATCCTAAACTAATCATGACAATCTATATATCGTTGGAAAGGTCTAAGACTCCTAAATAGATTACCAATGTTTTTGTTAAAAATTATGTAGGAAAAGTAATAGATTAATTTTTGAGTGCACCTCAAAAATCTACATCATAACAGTTCTGACCTTTGTCAAAAAAAAGTCTTCTTTGTTGCCTTTTTCTCTATCACACTTTATAAATCATCAGAAATTATATATCAATTGAAAACTTTAAATCTCAAAATTCATCCTTTGAAACATTGCATTACCATGGAAATGGTACATCAATATCATGTTACAAAATGTTTTCGTTCATGAATTATAAAAATGTAAGTTTGGATCGTGCACTTTCACGTCTATGTTCAAAAATGTGAGTGACAGTTAAGGGGTTAAAGACAATTTAAAAGTAAACAGTGTTTAAAATTAGTGCTGGGCAACGCGATTAATCGCATCCAAAATAACGTTTTTGTGTGCATAATATATGTGTGTGTACGGTGTATATTTATTATCTATATATAAATACACACATGCATGTATATATTTAAGAAAATTTTATGTTTATATATTAAATATATTTATATATAATATAAATTTTAATCACATTCAAAATAAAAGTGTTTGTTTACATAATGTATGTGCGTGTGTGTATTGTGTATATATATATATATATATATACACACACGTATATATTTTGAAAATATTTACATGTATATATTTATATTCATATAATTTATATCATATATAAATATATTTGTTATATAAAAGTAACATATTTTGCTTAAATATATAAATGCATATGTGTGTATTTATGTATATATAATATATATACACAGTACACACACATGTATTATGTACACAAAAACTTTTATTTTGGATGTGATTAATTGTTGCCTATCACTATTAAAAATATAAATGCTGATCTTTTATGCATGTGTCCATGTATCTGTACAGTGTCTTGGGATTCTCTGCGTATACCTGGGGTATTACAGCGTCTGGGCTTCACATATCTCATTGTCGCTCTCTTGGATCTTGTGGTGGCACAGGACCGACTTACCAACTTGTCAAGTGTGAGTCAAGCTATCCTTCTCTGCACGTAATATGACACATAATCATAAACACACTTTATAGACATAAATACTCGGCTGTATGTGCTTGCCAGGCTTTTGTCTCTTTAATGAATAACCGAATATTTGATTCATCCATTTGTAAAAACATACAATGGGGTCCAAATATCTTGAGACCAATATTATTTATTCTTATGCTTACCAAGGCTGCATTTATTTGATAAAAAAAAAACACAGAATACAGACATTAATAAATAAAACATTAATATTACTACAATTTAAATTAAATTTGAATATATTTTAAAATGTACTTGATTCCTTTGATGGCAAAGCTGAATTTTCAGCAGGCATTATTTCATTAGAAAATCATTCTGATATGCTGATTTGCTACTCGAGAAACATTTAAAATGATTATTATCATCATCAATGTTAAAAGCCGTTTTTACTGCATTTTTGTGAAAACTGTGCTACACTACCAATTAAAGAAAAAAAAACTTTTATTCAGCAAGGATGCATTAAATCTATCAAAAAATGACAGTAAAGACATTAATAATGTCATAGTGATACAAAATCTGTTTTAAATAAATATTATTTTTTATTATTATAACTTGAATGGTGTCTGAAGGATCATTTGACACTTAAGACTGGAGTAATCATGCTGAAAATTCAACTTTGCCATCACAGGAATAAATTGCATTTAAAATTATATTCAAATAGCTCTTTTAAAATCTAACAATGCTTCTCAATATTACTGAATTTTTGATCAACTAAGTGCAGCTGTAATAAGCATAAGAGACTTATTAAAAAAAACATTGGGGGGTGGGGACTTATTTCAAACTTTTGTACGGCAGTTTGAATACAATATATAACATTTTAATTGATAAATGTAAAAATGTAATTGAAAATTTTTCTTGTCATTTTTACTATTTGTACTGTATGTCCCCAAACTGGCATTAACTCCCGCTTGTAATTATTTTTAATTGTAATAATAATTTTCCATCATCTTGTTGTTCCCAGGAAACATGCTGGTATTCGGTGCATGATGTCTGCCTCTACTGGCCCCCATGGCTGTTTGTGATTGCCTTTGAGACAATTTGGTTGTGTTTGACCTTCCTTCTCCCAGTCCCAGACTGCCCAATGTAAGTACAATCCTACTCATGATACGAGCCTATCATTTATTAAGAACTGCCTAAATATCCGTCCCCATATCCCCTGCCTTGTTTGCAATCATGAAAGGAACACTCTGCAGACTCTACCCATTTTCTGCCTTGTTAAAATGACAGGAATGGATCAGTAAGATACCATAAAGATTAGAAGAATAGATGTGACTGCTTTTTTCCTGGTTAATTATGAAGAAATTTCGCTTATTCTTATTTACATTGTTCAACATTATATTATTAGTCAGTTGTAATTGGTTATATTACATAGATATGGGATATGTAAATTAAAATGAATATGCAAATGAAAGTGTTTTGAATAGCATGACTCATGTCTATCTATTTGCTATTCATGACGTGCATTTTGTGTGGGAATTGCTATATTTTTCCTCTTGTTGTCTCTCCTGCAGTGGTTATTTGGGTCCAGGGGGCATTGGTGACTTTGGCCAGTACCAAAACTGCACTGGTGGAGCTGCAGGTTACATTGATCGCTGGCTGCTGGGAAATAACCATATTTACCAGACGCCTTCATCACGGGTAAACAGAGACCAAAACAATGAGAATGGGTTGTCATTCTGCCAGACATATGTAGTCACTATTTGCTAGAGCCGCAGCTGATTTCCGTCTCTTACTTTGGCACTCACCCACTCACACTTCATTGTGTTTTTGTGTGCCTATATCTAGGTTGTATACCAGTCTGTGATGCCCTTTGACCCTGAGGGTGTTTTGGGAAGCATCAACTCTGTATTGATGGCATTTTTGGGTCTTCAGGTGAGACAGACTTCTGTTTTCTTATACAGTACTTGTTTCTCATAGCAGCATCAGTGATTCTTCTTCCCCCTCCTCTTACTGTATCAGTATCAGCAGTGCAGTCACATGCTTCATGCAAACTATTTTTGTTCTGCAGTGCTTACAGGAATCACATCTAATAATTGTCCTGCCCTATTGCATCATTGTTTTTTTGTTTTGTTTATTGTGTGGGTTTCAGGCAGGGAAAATTCTGCTGCATTACAGAGACCAACACAGGCAAATAATCACACGATTTCTCATTTGGGGATTCATACTGGTATGTTTGCTTATTGTTTGTTTTTGCTAACACTTTATGTAATAACTTTCATTAAAAATTACAAATATATGTATAAATGCTGTTCTTTTGAACTTCTGATCTATTTATCAAAGAATCCTGTAAAAATGCATTCCTTTTTTTTTCCATTAAACCTCTCTTGCTCTTTTTTTGTTTGTATTTTTAACACATTGATGAGGTGATCTTGGGACCAGGAGTGTGGTCTTTGTGTCATTAGTATGTGGTACCTGAAATATGACTTTAAAAGTATCTTTTTTGGGGGGGGTGGGAATAACAAGTTGCTAAATAAGGACTATAACTACTCCACAGAGTTGCATGCTTGCTGCATACATGCTTGCCGAATGCACTTTTGTACAAAACATAAAATCTAATAAAATTATCATACTTCAAAATTGAAAACCACTAAACCAATAGGAAATTTTTATTGGGAACCCATAATAAACTGACATGGTTAACTGTACGTCTACTGTACATCTATGCCCCAGCATCATTTACGTCTCGAAAAATAAAATTAGGTATTTATCTTGACAAAAAAATTAATTATATATATATATATATATATATATATATGTGTGTGTGTGTTAGTGTTATTAAAAGGAATATTTCATCCCACCTAAATTAGTCAAGCTTGCCAGCAAGTCATTCCAAACCTCCACGACTTTTGACTTATTTATTTATTGTTTGTTTGTTTGTTGATACAATTGAAGTCTATGGTATTTTTTTGTGCAGTCAGCTGGTCATTATCACATTAATAAACTCTACAGGGTTAGAAGCTTGCCAGGTCTTGTTTCACCAGAGAAGGTTTTTATTTTGTGCAAATTTCTGTAATATGGAAGTGGATTGGGTGTGGAAGTATAAATACTACTGTTAAAAAATTAAAAGAATGGTATTTTTAATTGTCAAACGTCTCCAGTGAGCCTAAAATATCCAGAAGATCTGAAAGAGAATTAGTAGGGAAATTAGTCTTTTCAAACTCATGCAATTTTGGCGGCATGACAAAGGCGTCTGCGTCTGCCGTTATTATTCATTTCAATGGATGAGACTCAAGACTGGCTCTGTTTTATTTTGTTTATGAGATCGATGTCTCACAGTGTTTACAAAGGCAGTTTGCTCGACTATATTGAATGAATTGGGGAGTAGAATAAGTTTGTTATATTTACACGTTGTAGCTAAGAGTCTTTAAAAATCATACCATTTATGATAATTGATATTTATGATATGCAGATATGTGTTTGTATGGGTGTGTCTGTATACAAGAGAGGGAAAGTGTACTTGTCATCTTCTAAATGTTTAATGGCCTCTCTTATTCACCCAGGGAAAGCTGTCCAGAAACCTTCAGCGGAGTGTGTTCGTGTGTTTTACCTTTCAGAGCCCATGTAGACCACTTTTAGTTAGTTGTACTCAAAGACTATAGAATACCCAAGACGTGTCACTCGTATAGTTTTGAATGGGGAAAAATGCAACGCTCAATATGGCCGCTCAATCGCAGGAAGCCCCGCCTTCTAAATGAAAGAGCCAATCGCTAATCGGTGAAGTCAGCGCGTCACTGCAGCTGCCGTTAGAAGTCGCGGTTGCTATAGAAACAGTCAGCGTTCTGAGGCGTGCTCTTAGGACTGCGTATGCACACTGGCTGATGTATCCTGAAAAATACGCTTTTTATAACGTTATTTGAGCAAAAGTAACATTTATGACACAGTTGTTGTCAGATTTCTTTGGTGATTTCAAATATGAAATGTAATCGTAAGCTTCGTGAACAGTTTTGGAGAATTGGATGTTTCCCCATTCAAAGAGATGGGAGTTGCGCTTGCATGCCCGAGCAGCGTTTCAAAGATGGCCGCTGAGTGACATGGCTTGTCTTAAAAATACTTTGGTTTTACTGCAGTGTGTGCATTCAGTGTAGTGGATTCTGAATAAAAGAATGATCGTTTTACGGGTATCATGGGACATGTATGCGTGTTAGGCTTTGTTCACACTGGTTTTCGAACTTGATCTTTAGGTATTTACTGTCTGCACTGTCATTTTGCAAGTAATTGAATCTGATAATCTGTTTGTACTGTGTTGCTGCATCGGTTGCTATAGTAATAATAATGTACGAATCAGCAAGATGCCGCAAGGCTCTCTTTCTACAGCTGAGAGTGTCAAACCACTTTTGGATGTGGTTTCGATCAGTTTTGTAAATATTGGATTTCATGTGGTTTGTTCAGAATACAAAAAAGAAAATCCATTTGAATAATATATGACAATTTTTTTTCTTTCTAAACAGTGCCTCAGTGAGCAAGCTGTGTATGTAGTTTTCAGTGTTAATAAGAGACGCACACAGACCCTCTCTACTTTAGTTTGGCATGGATGGTGACTGAATCATCTGATCTGATCTTCAGCTCCCTCTACGCAGATCACATGAGTGTGTGTCTGTAACCTACATGTGAAACACTGATACAAGTGTACACATTAGAAATCATACATAATGGCTCAACTGAAAAAAAAACTGATTTAAAAGATAAGTTTTGAGTAACTGATAAATGGCCATTTTGGACTGTGGATGAATTAAGTAGGCTTGCTGCGGTAGTCGGTGTTATAAATGTTACATAGTGTTTAGCTGCACAACGATTGCATTACTTGCCCACTGTCGTTTTGTTTTTACATACACACACACACACACACACACACACACACACACACACACACACATATATATATATAAATATAAATAAATAAATAAAACTATTTAGTTCAATTGCACAACGGATGCTAAAATTACGAACTGAAAGCTTCTGCTCCATACCGCAGCAGGAGTCAGATTTCACGGTTATGTGAATAGAGAAAGGAGAGATGTCTGACAAGATGATGGCAGAGGATTTGGTGTCAAAGAGAAAAGCAAAAGCACCTATTTGACAATATTTCTGTTTAATGTTTGTTAATTGTTGTTTTTCATAAAAAAAATTATAATGAACCACAAAAATTCTTTGTAAAGTAAGTGGGAAATCCATCCAAAGATCTTTAATTTATATACAGAGGCTCTCACGTGACATAATAGATAAGAAATAGATATTGTTGCCACAAAATAAGAGAGTTCATTTATATTTAATTGTGGCCATGAATTAAGAAATTGCTCCCTCATTTTATTAAATTGTGGCGATGTTGTAGTAATTTTGATACATCAAAACAAGGGAATGAATTGGTACAACATTGCCGTGATTTTAATAAAAAAGGGAACAAATTAACTCATTATTAATTTGTGGCCACAATATATATATTTGGTTAATAATGAGTTTGTCATTTTACTATTTTATTATGTTTTTCATTAAGAATAATAATGAATCCACCATTTTCAAGCATTCATTTTGTTCAAAGAAAAGGAAAAATGTAAAGATCTAATGTTAAATATTAAGTGCTATGGATTATGAGTGTCTTCTCTTGTAAAATGTGCAGTGTAATTGGTAATATCGTTTATTAATTTCCTCACCATGGCATCTCTCTCAGAAAGCTTAAAATCATGAAAATTTAAATATTTTTGTTGTTGTTGTTGTTATCATTTAAAATTTTTTTTTTATAAATAATAATTTGTATCTTTTAAGTACCAATACGCACCCCTGTAGGTGTATAGGCTTTTATTTATAACTTGAAAAATAATTTTTATAATGAATTTTGGAACATGAATTAGAAAATACTATTTCAGTATTTCTACTTCAAAATTTCCAATTTAAATCAGAGTGTTTCTTGCTGCTTTGTTTCTTTGTAATTATTTGTGAAATTTAAAGTTGTAAATAAAGTACAAATGTGGTACTGCAGCATTTACCATTATTTTCCCCTAAAGTACATGATGTATGACACATGATGCCTTAAAGCTGTTATGTAATGGAAGCAGTAACATTGTTTTTCCGTATTGTGACATACATCCAAGTGAAACTTTTTGGCAGAAATAAAAGTATGATGGAGACTTGGTTCGATCGATCAGTTTTTTTTTTGATTGGATGTGGACAGATCTGAATGCAAGCTAGGAGTTGATTATAAGGAAGGGGTGGGTTTTAAGCATACAAAATATTTAGAGAAGTCCAGTATATGTTGTTAGAAAGAAGTCAGTCTTACTCTTTTCCCAAGAAGGTTGAGCTTTGAAATTTGTATTCAGAATTATAGAGTCCAATAATAAATAAAAGTTAAACATGCATGGATGAATTGTTCATAATAAGATAATTATGCATATCAGGGGTAAAAATGAATTAAATTGGCTTTTTATGTCTTAGGAAAATGTAGAAGTCACCTTTGTGGAGTATTCACATCTACATTGAGTTATACTAGTCTTCCTAGCTTGTACAGGAATTATAGTAGCTGGATTCTGTTTAGTCTAAATTTTTTCTTCTGCCAAATTTTACAAAATAGTTCTAAGAACCCATATTTAAGCTGTCAGTACCTTGTACAGAAAATGAATACTTTGTATTTGCCGGTGTTTTGATGAATCACTTTGATATTGAACCTTTCATCATCAAGCTCTTGCTCTTGGAATATATATATATTATATTTTTTTTTTCAGCTTCTTTGCACTCCAGAAATGCCCAGTGCTCTTTTAATTTTTATCTTTCTGAAGGCTAGTTTGCAGACTAAATTGCATGCTCACCAGTGATTCAGCTTTGAAGCTTGGATTTCTAGGAGAAGGTTCAATTTTGTTCCAGATAAAAATGGCCTTGAGCATGAGTTTCTCTCTGACGGAAATTATTAAAAGAAAATCATTCCCCAAACGTCCTGCTGTATAGCCTATTGAGATGAGGGAATATATTTACATATAAATGCTGACGTACAAGAGAATATTTGCCACACTGTACATTTGAATCACTTTGTATTTGTGCATATAGGTAATAGTAGTGGAGAATTCAACCATTTCCCAGAAGACCCAGAGTTTGCCGAAATTATCCAGAAGGCTGAGCAGGCGATAGAAAATGGCGTCTTTCCCGAACGCATCTCACAAGGATCCAGTGGAAGCTACTTTGTCAAGGATCCCAAAGGGGTATGTGTATTTGAATGTTAAATGTTGAAATAATCGGTTTTAAAAGTCATAACAGAAAACAAAAACTGATGGGATGAAAAAACTTAGAACTTCTTAGTAGGTTTCTTTAGTGAGTATTCATGCACCTCACATTATTGTGCCGTTTGTACGCAACATCATGCTTAGCAGTGTTTACCGTAGGATAATTATATGCATGATCACCTCTCTCCTGTGAACTAAATGAATACATTTATGCATGAATGTTAATGCAGAATCAGTTTGGATTCATTCTCTCAGAAAGCATTTCCTTTTACGATATAATTCATAGTAGTTATTTTCAAATCAAGTGGTGTTAAATTAGATTTTTCTTGATGCCTGTATCTTCTCTCCTTTAGAAAATCATTGGGGTATTTAAACCAAAATCAGAGGAGCCTTACGGTCACTTAAACCCTAAATGGACCAAATATTTCCATAAAGTCTGCTGCCCATGCTGTTTTGGCCGTGGTTGCCTCATTCCTAACCAGGGCTACCTCTCTGAGGCAGCTGCCTCACTCGTTGACCAAAAACTGGGCTTGAGGATTGTACCCAAAACTAAGGTGAGGATGGGCGTTATAGAAGCTTTAAGAAAAAGCTTTGCTCTTGGAATTAACCAAACTTTTCACCCTTTGTTTTCAGGTTGTGAATTTGGCCAGCGAGACTTTTCACTATAGTGCAATTGACCGTGCCAAATCCCGTGGTAAGAAATATGCACTGGAGAAAGTCCCCAAAGTTGGACGACGGTTTCACAGAGTTGGTCTTCCTCCAAAGGTAACGAAACGCCTCTAAAATGATCCCAATTCATTTACTCGCCCTCATTTTGTTTCAAACCTCTATCACTTTCTTGTGTGAAACACACAAGGAAATATTTTGCCAGTGTTCCATACAATTAAAGCATGAATTGACACATTAATCTAGGTATTCCCGAATCCATATGATTGCTTGGTGTCATTATTTGCTGAAAATGTTGAGTCGGTAGCTCTAAATTCTCATTTGCACTTTTTCATTATAGATATTACACCTGTCTTGTCATGTCAAAATTGAATTGAGAGCTAGACTTCCAAAAAAAAAATCATGATTTGTTGTTCTCTTTTGTGTAGGTGGGCTCATTTCAGTTATTTGTGGAGGGCTATCATGAAGCAGACTACTGGCTGAGGAAGTTTGAGGCAGAACCTCTTCCAGAGAACATGAGGAAGCAGCTTCAGTCTCAATTTGAGAGGCTGGTGGTGCTGGATTACGTCATCAGAAACACAGGTACCTAATGCTGCTGTTCAAGTTCTTTCTTTGTTCAGCCCATTGTTCTTGAACTTATTCCCTTACAAAGCTTCACCATGGTAACCACAGTGCTCATCTAATCTCAGATTTTTACTAACAGGGTTATTTTTACTAAATTGGCTGTGCTGTAAAGTAACTTTATTGAGTATCGGTCACTATTGTTAAAAAAAAATTTGAAAGCTTTTTACTTTTTACTGTATCTCATCTCTCTTCAGGCAGACTTTTTCATTATCGTTCTTCATTTCCAGTTTCTGCCTCCCTCACCATACAAATGTGCCATGTCTTTCAGCGTAACATGTTATGACCACATAAAAAGAGATGCTAATTGTTTACAGTGCCTTTGAAAAGGAAATCTGATATATCTTTTGGCTTCTTCAGACAGAGGGAACGATAACTGGTTGATCAAGTATGAGAAGCCGGGCGATGGAGCGCTGACAGAGAAGGTAAGCTGAGGGATATTTATAGAGCTCCTTTGTTTGCAGTGCTGGGCAGCTCAAAGAAAATGCCATGACTGAGAACCAAGTGCAAATGCAGGGGTATCATATTCATTTTTTTAATGCAAAATGATATATATATTAGTTTTTTTTTTTCTTTTTCGAGTTTTTGTGTTTGAATGGGCATGGCATGTCTTGGTAAACAGTTCCTCCCATATGCACAGTAAAGCTCTTTAAACATCACACCATGTCAAACATAAGACCTGTTCAGTATTGCAAAAGCATTTCCATTAGCCCAAGTTGCCGCAGGGGTTAATGGATGTAATGATGATTGCTTTCCAGTCACAAATGCTGAGTTTCTTTTCCACATGTCTGTCCTCAGGAATCTGAATGGACTGACCCAAAAGACTCGGCCATACAGATTGCAGCTATAGATAATGGTTTGGCCTTCCCTTTTAAACACCCCGATGAGTGGAGAGCATGTAAGGATTTCCTATTTTTATACGTTTAAAATCTATTCAACTGTTTTCTATTTTAATATTAAAAATATAATTTATTCCTGTGGTGCTAAAGCAAACTTTTCAGCAGCCGTTACTTAATTTTCAGTGTCATATGATGCTTTAGAAATTCTTATATGCTGATTTAGTGCTCAAGTAACATTTACTATTTTTATCACTATATAAATGAGTTGAGCTTCTTAATATTTTGTGGAAATCATGATACAAATTTTTTTCCAAGATTCTTTGAATAGACAGAACAGCATTCATTTGAAATATAAATCTTGGTAACACTTTCTATGAAGCCCATATTTATAATACATTATAAGGGTATTCTTAAGGCATTATAATGAATGCATAATGCATTATAAAAAACCTTATGTTGTATCATCTCATGAATAAGAACAGTTTTAATATATTATAATATTTACTTATTTGTGGTTATAGCTTTTAAGAGTATGATGATTTATAACACAATGAACACGTTGCATCCACTTTTACAATGGATTATATTTCTCATAGTTATAATGTATTATAAGTCTCATATCTTGACATTTTTCTTATGCTACTTTACTTAAAGCGGTCAAAGACCACTTATAAGTAGTAATAATAATAATAATAAAAAAATGTTTTCTCTCAAACAGCCATAAAACAGATAAACTGACTATAAGTGTCTTTGCAAGTACGTCAACTTATTCTACCATACTAGATTCAACCATTCTTGAGCATACTGATACTCTAATGAGAGTTAAAGAGCAAAGTTGCTTATAGTCGATTGATTAAGGGGACCATCAAAATAAAATGTAACCATATAAAACATTGCATTTTTTTCACTGTGCAGATCTTAAATAAACAATGTCAAGATATGATACAGTCCATTATTCTGTAAATGAAGTAGATTTAATATGGTGTTCATTGTGTGTTAAATAATCATACTCTTAAACTTATAACCACACATATGTAAGTATTATGATGTATTATAACTGTTATGATTATTCATGAGTTGATATAACATATTATAATTTTTTTTATAATGCATTATGCATTCATTATAATGCCTTAAGAATACCATTTATAATGTATTATAAATACGGGCTTCATAGAAAGTGTTACCGAAATCTTTTGTAACATTCTAAATGTCTTCAATATCATAGTTAATCAGTATAATGTGTCCTTGCTGAATAAAAGTATTTCTTCCAAAAAATGCTTTTTGAAAAATATTAAAGGAATTTCAATCCATCAACTAGAAACATTTTACTAGTAGTGTTGAAATGATCATACTTAACAGGTGAAATAGTAGTACTTTTTTTTCTTTTTCTTATCTTGGTGCATGTAGATCCGTTCCACTGGGCATGGTTGCCTCAGGCCAAAGTGGCCTTTTCCCAGGAAACAAGAGACCTTGTGCTCTCACGCATTTCTGACATGAACTTTGTACAGGACCTCTGTGAGGACCTTTATGAGATGTTCAAGGTAAGTTTTAACAGTGCCGTACTTGTATTCGTACCATTCAGAGCTATGCATTACTTGTTATTAAAGTGTTGATTTGGCTGTAGTTTATTTTGAGACTTAACTTCTTGGACGGGGCTTTAGCATGCTGTCAGTTTCTGTTAGCAAGCTGGAGTTTAGCATGCTGTCAGCACACTAAAACCCTTAAAGAAGTTGCGTCTCTACATTCCTCCCATTTTAAGTGGCTCTGCTAAAAATATTCAAGCTTAAAATTTATAAGGAAAAGATAAATTACTAATTGACCTCTCTAAGTGACCTGACCCCACTAAATCTGTTTTCTATCATGTCTGTATAATCTTATGAACTAGTTTGCAGTGAAGTTGGTTAATCATTTATGCATTAATTTGCAAGAATCTCTGTATGGATGGATATCTTTTTAATATTAAATGACTTTCCACATTAACAACTCTGATTTCAGACGGATAAAGGGTTTGACAAAACCATGTTTGAGAAACAGATGTCTGTTATGAGAGGACAGGTAAGTTTTATGCTTCGAGATGATTTTACATTGTGCATTCTCGGCTATTCCAGAAATAGTGTGTTCTCACATGCTTCATTCTCACTAAATGCTGGAGCTCTTCATAATGAAAAATTCACAGCTAACGTATATTAATACACCCAGCCGGGATGCTATTTTCAGCCTGTCACAGCTGAGACTTAGACCTGAATATAGACCTCAGGTTTGCAATGCCAAGGAAAAGGATTGTGCCTCTAAAATTGTATTTTTTTTTTAAATTCTCGCCAACATACTGTTATACACTACTGTTCAAAAGTTTGAGGTAGTTAGATTTTTTTTTTTATCCATTTATTGATTAAAAATACAGTAAAAACAATTTAAAATGAAGACTTATGTAATGGCTGCTGAAAATTCAGCTTTAGTGTGACATGATCCTTCATAAATTATTCTAATATGCTGATTTGGCGCTTAAAAAAAAACTATCAATATAATTTACCACTTTGATAAATATAATGCATCCTTGTTGAATGCTTATATACATTGTTAAAGTTGGGTGCTTTGTAGCCCCTAGAAAAATAATTTTTCTCGCTCACACAATCCTGTGTATGCATCTTGGACTTTGTATTTCAGCTGAGCAATTGTTAATGTAGAGCTGTATATTTAAAATGAAGTGAAAAAATTTAAAATAAAGCTTTGAAATTGGTTTAAAAAAAATAGACTTGGTGTTTATATATTATATTCAACTTTTTTTTTTTTTTTTGTCCAATGTAAAATGGATCCTGGACTTTTGAGGCTAGTCTGGAACCAGTTTTAATTGCCTAGAGCTGCCATTTCTGTTGTGACAAGTCTCAAAGAATCAAAGTTATTTACAACAAACAAATTACAAAATGTATTAAGTTATAACTTATTCTGTCACTCGAGAGCGCAAAAATCGTCAGAACACGACGTGTGTTTTGGAGCATCCATCTTTGAGGTACTTGTTTTTGGGTCTGTCATTGTGTTGCCACCAAGTAGGCACTTTTAGTAATAACACTGACTTGAAAAATGCTTGAATGTAACTTGCAAGTTTACATTTTACACTTATCCTGAGGACATTTCAACACCAAGAAATACTGGTGACCGTGGTATTTAATACGATGAATGTATTTGCTGATTATGTAACAGGATGCTGGCAACAGTATATATACATTGTTAAAGTTGGGTGCTTTGTAGCCCCTAGAAAAATAATTACAGAAGGTTTTTTCTCGCTCACACAATCCTGTGTATGTATCTTGGACTTTGTATTTCAGCTGAGCAATTGTTAATGTAGAGCTGTATATTTAAAATGAAGTGAAAAAATTTAAAATAAAGCTTTGAAATTGGTTTAAAAAAAATAGACTTGGTGTTTATATATTTATATTCAACTTTTTTTTTTTTTTTTGTCCAATGTAAAATGGATCCTGGACTTTTGAGGCTAGTCTGGAACCAGTTTTAATTGCCTAGAGCTGCCATTTCTGTTGTGACAAGTCTCAAAGAATCAAAGTTATTTACAACAAACAAATTACAAAATGTATTAAGTTATAACTTATTCTGTCACTCGAGAGCGCAAAAAGTTTTGGAGCATCCATCTTTGAGGTACTTGTTTTTGGGTCTGTCATTGTGTTGCCATCAAGTAGGCACTTTTAGTAATAACACAGCACGTTCCTCATGCCTATGCAAAAAGCGTAAAGTTTTCAGTGTTTTTGTCCTAAACGAGGTTGTACCTGACTGTTAAAAAACGACAACAACAAAAGTCTGGTCCTAGAACAAATCACAAAGTACTTATGTGAACTACGCAGAGTATTTGCTTCTACTGTGTGTTTGTGTTTAGAAGCTGCATGTTCTCAAAGTGATCAATAGGAGGCAGTGTTCACTCACAAACAAGCACTACTTCCTCACGACCTGCGAAGAATACCAATGAGCACATCCTGGATGAAGTTTTTTCACTGGTTTATCTCCAATGTCAAAACAAGCCTGAGAAGTTGATTAATCACCCATTGCTGCTAGAACCGAGAAGCAAGTACGTAATTTGCTGTTCAGCCATGTTCTTTTAAACACCGAAATAATGTTTTGATGTCTATCAATTATCCGAATGGCGTATTGGTCTATTTGTGTGTATGAATAGACTAAAATGGCTTGGTATAATTTAGTCACACGCGGAAGGGATGGGATGTAAGGTAGGCCTACTTCTGACTACCAGTTTTTTTTACAATTCCCTTTAAGTATATAATCCTTCCATACAGAAAAAAATATCATTAAAAAAAATAACTAAAAAAGACCATCATATGCACAACATTACAACGGTATTGACAATGCTTTATATCCAAATGATTATGTAGAGACTGTGTATAAATAGTTGTTGATGTGAGGAATAACTTGTCTCCTGGCCAGTATTGACCTCGTTACTCAATTTATTACTGGTTACTAGTTACTCCTTTCAAAAGTAATATCACTTTACTTATTACATTTTGGCAACAGTAATTAGTTACACTACTAGTTACATCTCTTTCACGCCCCCACATAAGTTGTAATTCCATATGTAACGTTACCCCATACAATTCTTTACTAACATGATATTTCTGCCTCATCATTTGACCAAAATCCACATTGGATCGCAGTCAGAAGTTATTACAAACAGTCAGTGGTGATTGATAGTGACTTTTAAGTAGTGTTGGGCGGTATGACCAAAAATTTATATCACGGTATTTTTCAAAATTATACCGGTTTCACGGTACATGACTGTATTTTTTTTTCATGCATGACAGGGGTGTTAACTGTATTTTCTACTGATTGAGAGAGGAAATACTGCAGTATATTGACTTAGAATGCCCTATTTTACGGTCATGATGAGTGAATATTGTCAAAAAATACCTCACGAAATAGTGACTAATCGCAAACCCTTTTAATACATATTAACCAGGAGTCACTCTCATTTATAATCGCAGCGTAGTCTGATAAAATCAACATGCATCTACACTAAAGAGCGGCTATGTGGTTGTTTTGGCTATATTACTTTTTTGTCTCATGCAGCGCACTGCCTGCGTCTGAGTAACAAACTAAAAAAAACAACAAACAAAAAAGTGCATGTGATATTAACAGATGAACTACGCTCATATTTATAATTCCAAACAATCAGTAAGCGACAGGTGCTAGGAAGCGCTGTTTTGTACTCATTTATTGACGAGTCGCCTGCGGTGCGGCCAACTGCGGTGGTGCTTCACTGCACAGAACAGATGCCGAGAGAGATGACACTTCTCCGGGAAGCCAGACCTTGCGTTCGTGGGACGGCACTGGCGAAATCTTCCAACTGAACCATAGCTAAGGTTTATCCAAAAAAGTCGCTAGGTTTGTCAGTATGAATATTCTATGGAAAAAAGCCGCTAAAAGGCGTCTGAAAGTAGCCAAATCTAGTGGATATTGTGGATGAGTTCTTCTGTGTCATCACGTTCTATTAGTTCTACAGCTTCAGTTTCGGAACTTTCACGATTAGTAACACATACAGCTGTTCCCTCACCACAGTGCAACAGTAAAAAGGGAGCCCTTTCCGAACGTTGTTTAAGCGGTACCGGTATTGCGGTATCTTTAAAATTCATATCATAACAAAAATAAACAGCGGTATTCGGTATGAACCGGTATACCGCCCAGCACTACTTTTAAGTAAAAGTGTATTAATCTTACTAATTGTCATGTGTATCTTGAAGCTAACTGTAACTATAATTTCTGTAACCCATATACGATTCTATTCAATTATGTATTTTATCAAAAGAAATCACAAAAGTTCATAAGAAAATGTTTCGTTTTCTAAAAATATTTTATACCATTTATATCAAGATCAGAGGGACGTGCGGACAAGCCATTTTATGCCAGTGTAAAGTAATGCCACATCTTCCATAATGCCACGGCTTAGTATTCAGATCAGCTTTTCTCCTGACAAAATCAATGTAATGGCAATATTTACATCTGCTGAATGTAAGCCTTTCTGTTTTCCAAGCTTGCCTGTTGCACTGGTGACTTCATGTGCCTGTGCAAGTCATGAAAATTGTGAAAATAAATCTAGGAATTATTGGATTGTTGGACTTCAAATCAGTAGGGGTTGAGGCATCAAAAGTAACAAGCTGTTTTATGGATGGTAACTGTAATATTATTACTGAAATCTGATTAGTAATTAGTTACACTACCAGTTACTGCAAAACGTAGGCTACTGTAACTAGTGACTAGTAAAAACAGTTACTGCCCAACACTGGTCCTGGCCCACCTACTGTCCTCATTAAGCATAAAAAAATGTACTGACAAGAATAAATGACACGTTCAATAATTTATTGATATTCTGTTTGTCATATATTTGGGACATTTAATGAATGTCATAAAATCCATACCACTCTTTCTTGTTTTCCCCTATTTTGTCCTTCATTGTTTTCTTGTCAGAGACAGCTGACAATTGATGTGATCATAAACTGCAAATACGCACAATCTGAAAGAATTTGTTGCCCTGTTTTCCCTCTTACACATTAAAGCGCTATAATTTATCAATGTGGGAACTCTCCTTCAGTTCATTCTCAGAAGTGAGAGGGAAAGCTCTCCCTATAAACTCTCCCTCTCTCGTACTTCCACCCAAACTTTCTTTCTCACACGTATCTTATCAGTTCCCAGAAAAGCTCTAGAACTGTATTTTTTTTTTCTGTTGGATTGGTTCATAAATGTGACTCCATGTGGGAGGGTTGTTTATTTTTCTTGGAAATCAGATTGCTGACCGTGTTAAGGGTGTAAGAGAGGGACAGGTACTTGGGATGGATTTGTCTGGTATGGGTATGAGTCTGGCCTCAAGCTTGCAGGCTTTGCAATGACAATTCCCTCTTTGTTTGAGCGCCATGGATGCATTATGTAAGCAGACACTGAGATCACCAGCCACACAGCTGTTTCACTGCCTTGAGATGAACAAATGGCCATTTTCTTCTCAAATATAATTTAAATCATTTTGCCTATGAAAATCAAGCCTAACTACAAGCCTACAAACAAAAAGCTAAAGCATATGTGTTTTAATAAAATTAAGTTATAGTGATAGTTGTTTAGGTATGTCAGTTATCAGTTTTTTTTATAATCAATTGTCAAATAAGTTACATAAATAGTCAAATATGTTACATTAACAATCAAATGATCAATTAATCATAAAATACTAAAACATCTGCAAGATTTTGACAATGTTGTGGCCATTAGAAAGAAAGAAAGATTGAAAAAAAATTAAATAAACAAAAAATATTTTGTGTTATATTTCTGTTAATTTTCTGTTCATGATCATTTTGTTTAATAATGGTAATTAATTTACAGTTCACTGTGTTTTATTACAGGTTCAATGAGCTAATAATGTAAGTACTGAACACAACTATACAGAAATTTGGGTAACACTTTATTATAGGGACCAGTTCTCACTATTAACTAGTTGCTTATTACCATGCCTATTATAAACATATTGGCTGTTTTTTAAAGCACATATTCTGCATGATCATATTCTGCATCCCTAATCCTACCCAATACCTAAACTTAACAACTACCTTACTAACTATTAATAAACAGCAAATTAGGAGTTTATTGAGGCAAAAGTCGTAGTTAATGGTTTGTTAATGGCGAGAATTGGACCTTAAAATAAATTGACCAAAATTTGTTTAAAATTAAATTATGAATGAAAACTGATCAGTTAAAAACCCTAGATAAGGTAAATACAAAAACATCACAGATGGAAACCGTTCATGCTGTTTTAATACATTTAATAGTGCATTTTGACCACGATTAATCTATACAGAAATAACATTAATAATACAAAAGATAAACAACTTTCTCCTTTCTGTAACTTAGGGTGTAACATTTACAATAAAATAAGATACATACAAAAACACGATATGAGTGATATAAATACAGAGAGGTTTAAATTAACTGTCATTGTCATGCGTTATTCTCGGTTTGGCAGCATATATTTAATTTACAAACATTTATGATACACTGCCATGGACAGGCACACAAGTAGCAATAAATCGACATCAAACCCAGGACCGACAATCATAAAGCACCTCAATAGGAGTACTGGACTCAGAAAGAAATCTGTTTGGTGATCGCAGCACTCCTACTCTAATGATGTGACCGCAGGCCTGGCTATAGTTAAGTGTAAATGCAAGCCTTGTTACAATTTTAGACTTTTACTTCATTTCTGGTTAACACTGACAAACAAATGGATATCACTTCCCCTCATACATTCTCTACCATCCTCTAACAAAATTGCTGCCTTGGTAGCCTCTATAATCAAACCTGAACATCCAACCCAAAATAAAAAGCTTTTCCTATCCTTTCAGTATTTGCCCAGGGCCCAAGATGTTAAATGGCCGAGACCATGGAGCTCAAATTAATTTTATTGGGTTGCAGCACCGATCTCGACCAATCACAGGCCTCAGGGTGAGTAAACTGTATTATGTTTTTTTTTGGAGTCCTGTGTTGAATCCTGGGATTACTTTGGGATTACTTTGCTATGTATAATTGGTCCACATTGTATTGGTCTCAGCTTTGGAACCCTCTGTGCTGTTTAAGTGTCTACATGCAGTAGTCTTTTCCTCTTATCTCACATTTCCTGTCTTCCTTTCAAAGGTGTGCCAGCCACCACCTTCCGTCTTGTCTATAGACAATCATGTCTGTCCATCCATTCATCCATCAGTCCATTCTCTTAAATATAATGAAAGCACTGTACACAGCTTTGCAGACATTTGCGTAACTATGTAGCAGTGACACACACAGAAACACTCTATTGCAGCGGGTGCCAGTGCATGGAATATGTTTCATTTGTCAATAACACACACACATACACATCAGACACACTTTACATAGGCTCACTTCCACAGTCATTTAGAAATACACATACATACTTGCTTCTCAGAAGCAAAACACCTCCCCTTTTCATGTAGTCACCCTATGACATGATCAGTAACAAGTTCAAACGTTGTGACGTCAGTGATGATGATGTCATAGCAGCAGGAACGTCCATTTCCAGTCTTTCAGGCTTGTCATTTGATGGCCATCAAAATGGCAAGAGCTTTGACCAATGTAGCTTGTTGATTTCGGCACAGTGGGTCCGTCCGTATCACATAAGGGATCAGATCATCGTATGTTAAGGGAGTTTAAAATCATTATCATCTTCATCTCTAACATCAGAGTTTGTTGAGAGGTGAAATGAAACATCAACTGTGTGTGTTTATTTGTCCAGGCAGGTAAAGGAGTCTCGTATCCGCACCACTTCTGCAGCACACAGGTGACCATACAGCTTATTGTACCATTCAGGGCAACGACCCCTAAAATAAAAGAGAAAAAATATATGTGAGCGATGACATTTGTATGTCATTGTATTTAATTAAAATATCTGAATTAAATATTTACTTTGAAAATAATTATTTCTTAGTTATAAAAATTACATGAATGATTTGTTATTGTATAATTAAATTATAGTATTTATTTTTAATTATAATTAAATATTTAAATATAAAATCATTAAATACTAAAATAATGACTTATTAAAATGATAAATATGCATATTTTTTATTAGTAATTATAATAATTATAGTATAAATGATTAATTATTAATTCTACTTTGCCCTATTAATTTATTTAAAATTAAACTCAAGCCTTAAATAAACATTATTTAGAACAAATATAGAATACCTGCAGTCTATTCTGGAAATGTACGTGAGTCGGCTCTTGTTGGGTCCGCTGGGTTCGATGTAATAGCGAGAGGTCAGAACATTAGCACGAACACCCAGAACCGCTGCACTCTTGTGATCCACTGACACACACACCAAAGCACACACTCCCTTGGGCAAGTCTGTCACCCACGACCTGAAACACAACACAAAATCATTCTTAGGATTCTTATAAACTTAAAAAGAACTATAAAAAGAAATCTTCCACTTTGAATATAAAGTACAATTGTAGAATAAAAAAAAATAGAAGAGACTTTAAAACTTTAAGAAGACTGAGTGTTTGTAATCACCTGAGCACCACATGGTCTCTTGGCGGATGGGGCGGCATTGAGTTCCTGACATACTGATAGACTTCCATGTTATGTTCCAGTGTCTCCACAATTCTGCACTCTAACAGATCCTCATCCCAGCGTTCCTGCTCCCGTAGAATACGCTGCAGTATGTCCTCAGCTGACGCAGGCATGTCCACGCACACTTTCCACTGCCGCAGAGACGACCCATCCTGAACCTATAATGAAAGAACATGACGCTATGGTCATTAACAGTTCCAGCACAATAATCTTGTTAGTTTTGTTCATGTGGCATGATATTACTTCATGGTAGGGGTGTCCAATCCTGTTCCTGGAGAGTTAGCTCCAACCTGCCTCAACACATTTACCTGGAAGTTTCTAAGTAATCCTAAAGTTAATTAACTTTCAAATGTGTTTAATTATGATTTGAGCTAAATTCTGTTGGATAGTGGTCCTCCAAGAGCAGGACTGGACAGCCCTACTTTATGGGTCCATGAAACACTGTCCAAGGACAAGAGAACTGGGCTGAGTGAACACAAGTGTGTTTTGGTCAATGTGAAGTGCTAGAAAAACCGATGAACTGATGTCATCGTGGGCTCTAGTCCAAAACAGAGCTGGGAAAAGATACTTTCACATGAAAAAAAAAAAAAGTGATGTAAGGAAAAAACACAGCTTTTCCATTAGGCACAAGCAAAAAAAATGAGCAAAGGAAGGAAGAGAACGTGAACATGAAATGGAAATATGAGAGACAGTGTCCAAGTGACTCGAATAGGGTGTGTATTTATACAGTTTCCTTACCTTTTTATATGCAAGCTCAGCGTTTTCAGGAGTTGAGCAGCTGTCGTAACCCTTGAATTTGTCCTTGGCTTCTTTAAGCAGGGCATCAATACTGTCTTTGAGGAGACTTTGGTAGGTACAAGAACCGCAGTCTTCCACCAACACCTCCATCCGCATGGGACTCAAGCCCTGCTCCACGTAAGAGTTCCTACAGTGTGACATTTCCTCTGGGATCTGAAACACAAAGAAGATACAAATGAAAATAATACATTTGTTATGCTGGTCCAGGCTGGTAGGGCAGCATAACCATAATGTTAAAGGGTTAGTTCACCCAAGAATGAAAATTCTGTCATTGATTACTCAACCTGATGTCGTTCCAAACCTGTAAGACCTTCATTCATCTTCAGAACACAAATTATGATATTTTAGATTTAAGTCCAAGTGCTTTCTGACTCTGCAAAGCCAGCTATGCAACTACCATGTTCAAGGCCCAGAAAGGTAGTAAGGACATTGTTAAAATAGCCCATGTGACATCAGTGGTTCAGCTGTAATTTTATAAAGCTACGAGAATACCTTTTTGTTTGCAAAGAAAACAAAAATAACTACTTTATTCAACAATTTCTTCTCTTATGTCAGTCTTCGAACCCGGATGTGCTGCCTTGTTTGCAAGCAGAGAAATGCACACACATTCATCGTGGTACTGTTGTGATACTGTCGTGAATGCGCATCGAAGACTGACACAAAAGAGAAAAAATTGTTGAATAAAGGCATTATTTTAGTTTTCTTTGCGCACAAAAAATATTCTCATAGCTTCATAAAATTAAGGTTGAACCATTGATGTCACATGGACTATTTTAACAATGTCCTTTCTAACTTTCTGGGACTTGAACGTGGTAGTTGCACTGCTGTCTATACAGGGTCAGAAAGCACTCGGATTTCATCAAAAATATGTTAATTTGTGTTGCAAAGATGAACGATGGTCTTACAGTTTTGGAACGACATGAGGGTGATTAATTAATGACCGAATTTTCATTTTTGGGTGAACTATCCTTTTAACCAGGAAATCTAAGGGTACGTTTACATGATAACAACGTACTAAAAAAAGAAACGGGTTTCCTTTGTGTTTTTGAAGATTCAAGTACACGCGCATGCCGGCCAAACATAATGCGCCTGTTTGCATTTTCAGGCCCCCAAAACGCCATTGTCATGTAAATGAATGGCCAAACGCATAAAAAAGTTTTCAATTTTTAGTTGAAAACAGTGTCGTGTAAATGCCGCCTATGATCTTTATGATGAAAAAATCTTATTAGTTAAAAAAACAGCATATCAACATCCCATTTAGGGTCCAGCTTACAAAAGACAAGATACACAAGTTAGTCTTTTCAGCAGGGACGCATTAGAGAATAAAATTAATTAAAAGCCAAACTCATGACTTGTTCATAACATGCTAATTAACATTAGCATTAGCGTCCCCTATGGGACCGACCAACAAAATGAACATTGTAAGCTCAGTATTACATTACTCAAATGACAAGTCATGATAATATTGTTGAAGTATCCTAGTTTTGTAAGTCTCAAAATCTTTAAAATAATCATGGTTACTTTAAACTAATTCTGTTAAATCAGAACATTGCATGTTAAAACTGCTTTTGGTGTGAGTAAAATGAATGTGAGGGGAAGAGAAGTGACAAGAGTGATTCATTCCTCACTGGAAGTGGCTCATCCTGTTTGTGTGTGTCTTGTCCAGCGTTCTGCCCTTATCCACTGTGAGTGCTCTTGTGCGTGTCCTGTCCTGCTCGCTGTCCTTTTCCTGCCTGACTAATGATGTTTATCATGTCACAGTGCTTGTCCCTTTCCAGCGTTTGTTGAGATAAACTTATCTTCATTCTGCAAAAAGCATTAGTCTGATGGATAGAGCGCGACCAGACCTTGCACATTAGATTTAGGGGCGGAAGACCTTTAATACAAGATGCTATCTTTCCGTTTCTCATTTTGAATTATTTGCTCTCTATAAATAGCCCATTAAGAAGAAAATAACTTTTGGTAATAGCCACAGATTGAGTTATCTTATGTTAATGGCTCCACATAATCAACCCAATCTAATCATGGAGTTTATTATGATCTGCTCAGGGAAAGCAGTGGCATATGGTATAACAATAAGCGCAAGTGTGTAGGTGAACATTACAAAACAATGCTGCTTTGTGGATGATGCGAAATTGAATTTCTGATGTTGTTCAACTTCTGCTGACTTTCATTATTTTACACTTATCCAGTTAAAGAGCTTCCTTCCTGACCTCTGAATAGGTACTAAAAGTGAAAGTGAGTGTCTATGAATGTGTATATCGTAAAATTGTTTGTTCATGACGAACTTGCTGTTAATATGTGATAAATTTGTGGCCAGAGGTTAGCTATATATTCACTAAAAGCTTTCTACAAATCACTGCATGTAAAAAAGAAGCAGCATATTAAGAATGACACATTATTGTGTTGGTGGTGGTGGTTTTCTTTTTTAAATAAATAATAATATATCTTAAGGAGATCCTAAGATATCTCTTACCTGCCATTTGTTCTGAACATTATTGATATATGTGCTAGAAAAACTAGAAAAGCCTTGCTGTATCCACAGAAAAAAACACTGCTATCTGTAACCATGGCTGCTAATTCTGGTTCTGTTTTTGTATGTTTATGCGTGATTGTATGGGTAATTAGGAGGGATTGGTCATTGCACAACAACCGCATTCATCTTTAAATAAATTCAGCAGAGGTTCTAGGTAGCTGTTTTTGTAACATGTGCTGTAGCGTGAGTGTCTGCACATGTTAAATGAGCGTGCATTTGTCTTTGTACCTGAGCTGCAAATGACAGAAAGACACATCTGGTGCAGAGTGATAAGACCTCTAGTTTGAACACCATTTTGATAATGCTGGCGTACGTGAAAGATGGATGAGAGATGGATTTGTTTGCTTTTTTCTTAAAACAGAAGTGAATTGTTTGTGTTTATGTTGGACAGAATGTACTGAAATGTAAATTCATGCTCACCAGGAAGAGTTTTCTGCACTCCTGTATCATATGAGCTAAGCCGTGTGTGGCTGCCAGGTTCTCATTCAAGTCCCTTTGGTCTGGTTTTCCCAGAGTGTTCTTTCTGTTCATGACCCTGTGATAAGGAAAACACATGCAAAGGGATAAATGGATAAAGTTAAAAAAAAAATTATGCAAGCACTAATCTAATCTTAAAAATGATCAAACTCAAATTTAATGCTACATTTTCAAGTGCAGCAGGCATTCAAAGCCTTACATAAGTCAACTCTCTTTTTTAAAAACCTATTCTTTCCTAGTTTCCTGTTTTTATGGGGTGGTTATTCAAGCAAGATAGAGTATAATTACATGGTTTAAGGGTTTGAAGTAGCCGCATGCCAAATATGATGGCACCTCAAGCACTTTGCAATTAAAAAGATGAGCGGATCTATGTGAAGTGTGTTAACAGACTGCACACACACCTGGGTGAGGAGCTCTCTCTCCGCAGTGTGTTGAGGTGGAAGAGAGAGGGGGCCAAACACACGGCCAGGTTAGTGCAGGTCATCTGGTTCTCACCCACGCTGGCCGTTACATCACTCAGGAAGCACAGCAAAGTCTGGAGGGCTTCGCGGTTCTCGTCTGGTAACACCAATACTGCAGCCCTCACCGCCTGCAGCCGCTGTTCTTTGGGAACATCTGAAACCGACAGAGGAGTTTCATTACTTTACTCCGAACACAATGTATGAGGATTGTATGCAGTGGTACAGATATATGGTGCAGTGATGATACAATGGTACTTTGGAACTAAATGATTGACATATTCTGCACTTTAAGCAAAGAATACAATGAAACGTACAAAAAAAAAAAATCTAATGTATTTCTAATGGTATATATATATATATATATATATATATATATATATATATATATATATATATATACAGAGGTGTGAAAAAGTGTTGGCCCCCTTTAATGTTTCAGATCAGCAACCAAATTTAAATATTAGGGAGAGAT